TTCACTGAGTTACGCAAGCCCCTTCGCCACGACAAGGCAGTGATCCATGAAGGGGTCACATCCTTGCAGTATGTTGTTAAACTGCTTGGCAATGTGTGGGTGCAGAGCAATCAGATGTTTCAACCAAAAACCATGCAGTTCATCTTCACCTGACCAATTGTTGATCTTCCTTGCCTTTTTCTCCACCATTTCTGCTGTTATTACAAATTCTTTCATTTCAGCTTCTTTTTTATTCTTATCTACCTCCTTTATCCAAGCTGCATTCTTGTGGTATTTCTGTGGCTTGTCCCATAGCTGCACCCAGAACTACTACTACTAATTATTATTATTACTTTGCACAATCAGACTGACTCTGTTATTATAATCAATCTCAATAAAAGTTTTAATCTTCCTGTGGAGTTGATTTTCTGGTCTGATTTACCTACTGGGGCTAAATCACAGAGATTAGAACAGCCCCATCCTTACTAGTATTCCAAAAAGTGATTAAAACCTGGTGTTTCTGGAGGACCTTTGAGGATGGTATGAACTCTGGTTATGCCTGGTGGTGAATTAAATGTATATGTTTCAGTGTTTTGTTATACTGGGTTTTAATGTTATTATTTGCTTGTTTACTTAAAAAGCTTATAAGCTGCTTCAACCAATTGACTCTGAGTAGCATTCAACTCCCCAAATCCATAAATTGAAATTAACAGTTGAATAAATAATCCAGTTTTAAAACTAAAACATTACATTATAAATCATATAAAAACAAGGAATCAGTATTCAGAACCCTAATTCATAACTCAGAGGGATAGTCACAACAACCTGCCCAAAGACTTTATGGAATAACTAAATCTTCACCAGCTTTCTGAAACCTAGGAGGAAAAGGGCCATCCAAATATCTGGGCAAAATACTATTCCAGAGGAATGAGGTGGCAACTGCAAGATATTTTTCTGTGGCTTCTGAAGATAGCAGTCTTTAATTAAGGTGGTGATCGAATCATTCTTCTAGACTTTATTGAGCAGGCACGGGTCATCAGGGAAGGTAATCCCTACAGATACCCAGGCCCTGGACCACGAAAGTCTTTAAAGGTGACAGCACCTGGAATTGCACCGAAATGGCAACTGGCAAACAGTGCCAACTCTTCTGATAAGTTTGGAATGTCCCATTCCAGTGTCAAAATGGAGTATTTGTGGGTTAGAACATTTCATCCTCAGTGTGTTTTGTATGTCTCTGCTGTATTTATAGGCAATCAGTAAATATTTCCTAGTCTTTTGCCTTCCAATTATATTTGGACCTCAACTTCTATAATCCCTTGGTACTGCTAATGAGCAATTATGAGGGGTTGGAGCCCAACACCTTAGAAGTTCATCAGGTTGGGGAAGATTGTTATAGAATTGAAGAGGTTTTTTTGTAAATATCAGATGCTTTACTAAAATACGCATGCAAGCAGCCTTTTTACTGGGGGAACCCATGCAATCATCTTCAGGTCTCAGTGAACCCTAATCCTGCATAAAAATCACAAAAATGACACAATACAATTCACTTCTAATCTACACAACCCACATTTTACAACATTTACAGCAACAGCAAAGCAACAGGCCAGCAACTGAGTCACATGGCACTTAAAAGTTCCCAACACTGTGAGTGCTAGCATTGCACAGTGCGCAAAGTTAAAAAAAACAATGTTTTTTTTTTTCCAATTATGATCTCTCACAGAACCATTAGCAAACTCTCGCAGAACCCTAGGGTACAGTGGAACCCAGACTGAGAAAAGCTGCTTTAAAGTTTGTAGCTTTCGTCAAGTAAAGATTGGGTGCATTGTGTTTTTAAACATTTTAACTGCCCCATAGCTGATTTTTCTTGTATGAGAAAGTTGTCTGTTGTTATTCATGACAACAGAGTCTGTATTTGTGCCTTCTGTTAGGAGAACAAGCAGATGCTGTTTACAACCTTTATGATGAATTCTCTTTGCTGTTTATAACACCATTACTGCATGTTCCTTTGATATTACAAAATTATAAGCTTCTAGTAAATGTTTCTACTGATAAATTTTCAGACTTTTGAAGTTTTTTTTTCTTTTACCAATCCAGTGTATGATTTTCTCAGCTGTAGTTATTTAAAATCTGAGATTATAGTAAATGATAATGCCGGTATTTAAAAAATCAATTTATTGACAGTTGCAATTCCCTTAAATATTTTAAACTTGGATATTAAAAAGAGTAAAAAACAAACTGTCAGGCATATTGAAAAGAAATAATAACAATAGTACATGATTGGGAACTCACAATTATTGCCCTCTCAAGATGAGAACTCCAGTCATCATGACCCCAACAGCAAACAAAACAAAACAGGTTTTTAGTGCCTTTCTAAATGCTCAAAAGCTTGGGGCCAGTTATATGTGGGGGGGGGGGGCACATTCTGGAGGGCAGGTGCCACAACAGAAAAAGCATGCACAACAGATGACATTGTTTCAAGAAAGGACCCAGAGTCTACCCTGTTAGAGCTTGTGGGACAGGTTCATATGGGGAGGGGTGGTCCTGCAAATAACCTGATCCTGTGCCATATGGAGCTTTATAGGTGATAACCAACATCTTCCACTTAGGGGTTGTTTTTTTTAAGCTGTCTATGTCATCCAAATATTAGAAGCTGCTGTATGTGTACTGTTACAGTGAGAGGAACAAATTCAGGTTCAGTGTAGTAAGACAGAGCAGTTGTGGATTCAGAAGCCAGTCTCCATCATAGATAGGAGCGGACTCTCCTTTGCTGAACTGGTTCATAATTTTAGGCCCTCCTGGACTCATAGCTCCTGCTCAAAGAGCAGATGGTTGGAGGATTTGCACAATTACATCTTGTGTGCAAATTGCAACCATTCCTGGACCGGGGGAAGGGAACATTTTCATGCTTTGGTCACCTCCTTTGATTCGAGTTTATTTTCTCCTACTGCAGGAATCTGTGGTGGTTACTGAACACTGTTCCTAGGTTCTTTGATATAATCCTTATCTTGTTTTTATGTTTCATTTTAGTTACTGAATTGGAGAACATTGACTGCTCAGAATTCTGCACAGTTGGAGTAGCATGTAAACTCTAGTAAATAAACCTAGAGATGCATGTATTTTATGAGTTCCTTACATGTTGCAAGGAGTTCTACTCATGATCTAGGATGTGTAGAAACTCTTGTTCTATATGGTCTAAGGATGAAATCTTTAGGAGTAGAATCTTTCAAGAAAGTTTATCCACTGATTGTGTTCTAAATTAGCTCTCTAAAACAATACGTAATAGTTACAGTGTTGGGTTCTTGGTGTTCACTAAGCTCGGTTGTTTACCTGCAGATGTTTCATTACCAGTGGATTAATGATGTTACCTATCCAGTAATGAAATGTCTGCAGGAAAACAATCAAGCTCAGAGAACACTAAGAATGCAGCAGTTCCACCCTGAGTTACATATATTCTCTACTGTTGAAACTAGTGTTAAGATTAGGGAGACTAGGGAGCCACAGGTTTAAGTGCACCCTCAGCCATAGAAACTCATTGGGTGAATTTGGCCCACTTAACTTCTCTCAGCCTATGTTGTCAGCCTCTCTGTCAGCTTCTCTTTCCTTCTCTCAGCCCAGCGTATCTCACAGGATTGTTTTGGGGACGATTGGAGAAAGAAATGCTTATGTGTGCTTCCTTGAGCTCTTGGAGAAAACGTAACATAATATTAAAGTAGAAAACTATTAAGATATATGTAGTATAAAAGCTTCTGAAGTCTCCAGATCATTGTTAGATGCTGTTCAAGTCCTAGGTGTATTTGTGTTGATGAAGCTACCATAGTATCTTGTATGAGATAATACATCAAGTCCTTAGCAATTTGAGATGCTTATTGGATGTATTTCTTCTAGCAAAGCTGGAAACGTCTCTGAGTTTGGTGTGGCATGTAATATCCTTAGATCTTATTGCATTACATCCAGTTCTGTGCCGCATCATTATTTTGCATGACTCAGCTGTGCCACACTGCTGAATCATCTATTTTAGTGGACAACATAGGTGTACCATGTTATGCTGCAATCACTCCCTGGCTCTCTTACAATGCTAGCAAAGTGACCAAAGTTAGGAAAATGACAATTATAGGGATCCATTTGGGAAATCACTTTGGCACAGAAGGCCAGATTTTTTTTCAGCTTTCCAGGAAAGAATATATATTGATTTCACCAAACACTATGTTTTAGAAGATGCCGTGTGGGCCAGTGACATATGACAGCCATGTAGGTATCCTGATGCAGCAATTATTTCTCTTTCAGTGATGCTACAGCCTTTTGATTATGACCCTAATGAGAAAAGTAAACACAAGTTCATGGTCCAGTCGATGTTTGCACCACCTGATACTTCAGACATGGAAGCAGTAGTGAGTATTAGAAGCTTTTCAAAGTTCATAAATATCTTTTCTCTCAAAGGTTTGTGATTAGCCATTCTCTGAAGCATGTTAAACAAGTGAGCTGGGGGGAGATACGGATCTAACTTTGGCCTCATGCTATATTTGCACAATATGATGGTATTTCCATACTAAAACATATGTGTAGCTTGTCATAGGAATGGTGTGGTTATGCCTCTTCCTCTGCAAAAGATGCCAGTGATTGGAGAAGCCATTTCAAGAATATCATAGGTGGATATAGCTTAATATCTGTGCATTTTGCATCTGTCACCAGTGCTGGGTGTTGCCACTATGAAAATTTAGATTAATTGTGCCAACAAAATAATAACCATATTAATGTTCTGATGATGCCCAGTGCCAGTTGTATGATAACATGTCTGTTTGATCCTATTTTGCAGGACATAACATGGCAGTGATAGTTTGCATCTTGTCAATGAATTGTATTTATGATAAATTAATATCTACAGAGATGGTATATCTTTAGAAATCAGTAGCATGTGCTGGGAGGTCATCTGATTCTATACCATGGTTGCCATTGTTGTAATACACTGTTCAGAATGGAGAATTTTAACAATATCTTTTAATTGTGCATGTGGTATCTAGGACATTCACCTGGATTTAAAATACATATCCTGTGTTGAATTAACCAGCTGTACTGTTTCTACTTTCTGAATTGCTATCAAAGCACCAACCCATAGCTAAGCATAATTGGTAGAACAAGTTGTTAATCACCATTCCACTGCATTTCTGCTCTTTAGCATGCTTCACCATATAAGTAATAAAACAGTGTATAAAGAGAACTGATCAGGGCAATTTGCCTTTAACCATCTGGTGATAGGATTGAGTCCACTGCATTAACACTCTGGTGGAATCATGAACCCTTGTGAGTGTATTCTCATCTTGATGTAGAGATCTGCAAATTTTGATGAGCTCGGTGGCATTTCCTCTTCTTCAGAAAAGCTTCTCTCTACTTCTCGGTTTTCATGGGGGAAAGGGCTAGCATGGGAACATGCACGGGTAAGTGCCACTGCTCAAAGTTTAAGCAGCTGCACGTGCGTCCCATTTTTGCAGGCAGGCAGATGATCCAGTTGAATTACACAGCCAAGTTGTAATGGCCATTCAGCTGCCAAACAATCTTCAGTCTCCTTCCAACTTGGATGCTGAGGAAATGGCTCGATTCCCTGTTATTGCCTAGCCCTAGATGATCCCTTCCCATGTCTGCAGCATTAGGAGCCAGAGTGGTTTTCTCTCTCATTCCCCAGACACTGCCTCAGGAATGTTTGGTGGCTCTCCTCTTATGCATTCTCAGAAGTTAGATGACATTATGCCTATTTATTCCAATTCAGATAGTCCTCACTTAATGACGGTTATTGGGCCCAGAATTTCTGTTGATAAGCAATGTGGTCATAAAGCACAATATCAAAATCAGCAACAGAAATTTTGGTGCTTCCAGTTGTTGTCATTAAGCAAATCACCACAGGTAATTAAATGAGGATGTCACGTGGTCGCCATTTGCAACTTTCTGCCGGCTTCCTCATTGACTTTGCTTGTAGGAAGCCAACAAAGAAGGTTGCAAATGGTGACCGCAGGACACTGCAACCAACTTAAGTATGAGGACCGGTCATAAGTACCAGTCATTCAGCACCGTTGTAAGTTCAGACAGTCACTGAACAAGTGGTCATTAAATGAGGACCACCCTGTATATAATTTGGCCCTTTTTTCTGGCTCAGAATCAGGCAAATAAGTGTCCTTTCTGGAGTTGAAGGAAAATTAGACATTAAAGATATACCATGACAAATGTTCAAGCTGTCTGTGAAATAAAATCTTGCATTCCATCTGAAAAGTACCAGGGGACTTTGGTGATGTTCACTTCTAAACAAAAACACAGCATTCATAGTTACAAAAAGATCTATCTTTTCTTCCAGATTTGTTTATTTGTTTGTTTGTTTGCCCAGTGCAAGCAAGAGACTTCCAGCAGGTTACAGTTTCAACAATAAAGTGTCCACAGTATAAATAGTTTAATACAAAACCAAAAATTGTTTTATTTAATAACTTTTGTTACTTCTATTTGTGCTGTAGTGGAAAGAAGCAAAGCCAGAAGAACTGATGGATTCTAAACTTAAATGTGTGTTTGAGCTGCCAGCAGAAAACGATAAACCCGTGAGTGCCGTTGTATTTTTTTGTGCTTGATAGAAAGGCAAGTGAGAGATAACTGCAGCTGAAACTTCTTGATTTAGAATTTAGCTGCAAGTTCTACGATCTCAGTTGTTGGTTCATGATTTATTTAGAAACACTTAATAAAAGTTGGGCATTTTTATGCATATTTTTGTGTATGTATACATCTGTATACACTTTTTTAATGATTTGTTCATTAAAATTGTTCAACTTTAGAGGACAAAACAATCACTACTGATTTGCTTTCTTTCATTAGAATTTGATTCCTAAAATATACAGGATTAATTGTAGCAGAAGCAAAGAGTTTCTAGTAGGTAGGAATGGAAAGAAGCAAGGCATCTTTTCAAAATACAGTTTTGGGTAGTTTGAGTTAAAGGAATTCAGCCTGGAACCCTTCAGATATGTTGGCCTTTGGGCAGACTAACTGGGAATTAGAGCTTCAGCTGAAAGCTGATTGGATTATGAGGTTGGAGAAGACCGCTTTAAAAAAGAACATATCCCTTTATGTTTTGTGGCGTTTGCCACCTGCTGTTGTTAAAATTCTTGGATTAAAGAAGGATGTGGAGACCTTTTTTTATACAAATTGGGAAGAAATCCTTGATTTTCAGCATTACTTTTAAAAAGGCTGAAGTTTTCCCAGTGTTCTAGTCTCTTTCTCTATTTGCATGGAATCAGCCTGTATGCACACACAGCTTTCAAAACTGTAAGGTAGGACTATATATATTGCACTCTCTGCCTTCTCCTTTTACAATATTGCATACCTGGAAAACCATGTTGCAATAATGTTCAGGTTTCCTTGTCCTGCATATAGAATATAAGAGTGGGAAATCCTGCAGAAAATGGAAGTTATGATATTGTGGAGCCCTTTTCTAATTTGCTTTGGGAATGCTTCTCCAGAAACTCCTAGTCAGCATAGTGAAAATTCCCAAGATGGCTCAAAAGTCTTAGAACTACAATTCCAGCACATTTGGAGGATGACAGTTGAGAAGGATGGCATAGGGAAAGAGAGGAACATTGAATGACAAAAGAGTGACTTGCATAAGCTTAAACATGTATAATTTATAAGGTTAATGACTTACAGCAAATAATAGGAACATTTTATTTTCCATCATCTGTTTTAGTATGTCAAACTGTAACTTAGTTTTTTTCAGTGAGAAGGAATATAGGTAGCCCCCGGGTTAAGAATGCCCAGTTTAAGGACGACCCATAGTTAAGACAGAGCCTATTTTAGCAAAAATCAAATTAAATACACAATGATTCAAGTTAAATACACAATGGTTCAAATTAATTACACAATACTACTTATACAGTATTACACAATAATACTGTTTTGGCTTACATAGTAATTCAACTTAAGGACAGACCTTGGAACAGAACTCATTCTTAAACTGGGACTTCCTATAGTACTGAGGGTCACTCTAGAGATTTTATGGAAGAGTGGGTGAGCAATTAGAGAGCATCAGCTCAAAGTTCTTTGAATTGGCCTGAACCACTGTTCTTTGGTGTTCCATCCTGCCCTTATGAAACACCAGAACAGAGATTCTATTGGCTCCTGCCAACATTAGAATTTGAATCCAAAACAACAGTGCTCCTAGAGGTCCACCAAGTAGAGACTAGTGATCACCAGCACTTTGTGAATGATAGCCCACTCAGAATCAATTCCCCATAGCTCTAAGATGAAAGGAATGGCTTGTTTGTACAGGTTAATAATTTCCCAACTGTGAATTCAGGGCAGCAATGAGAAATGGCAAAAAATACTTTAATTTACCAAATATTTTAAGGCAAACACTTTCATAACTGCCAGCACTTTAAAACATTCCTAGAATTTTTGCCTACTGCTCCAACATAAGGATTATTATCCCAGTATTTTGGGGGGGGGAGTGCCTTTCACCTGCTACTTATTTGTATTCTACCAAAGTGTGTGCAATTATTTACTTTTAATGGAAGTCCAGGTCTGTAACTAAGGAGTCCTGAGTTATCCATAGCTACAGTTGAAACTAATTTATATTCATTCGCTGTTTTCAAAGTCTGATTCTTAAAATTCACATTAACTTCTAAGTATGATTAGGAAGACTTTGGGTCTTCTCTGATGTTGTTTAACTATAACTCCCAACATCTGTACCAGGACACACAATTTACAGCTGCACTGGCTTCCGGTATGTTCTGGCTGTGTTTTCAGAATGATATGTCAGAATCCTAGATGGGCTGGGCCAGAGGTATGTAAGAACACATCTCTTCTTCCAGAACTCTGTGTGCATCCATTTATTAGAGGAGGCTCTTCACAGCAGACCACTGATATTTAGATATATCTTTCCAGAATGTAGAGAACAGCTTTCTCATTAGGCATGCCAAAATTGTGGCATTGCCTGTTTCAAGAAGTCCATTTGCTATTTCTTGCTTTCTATTTTGGGCTTTGCTAAGGCATTTTTAAATTTTGGAACTGTAATAGTGAACGTAGCATTAATTTTTTATGCCTTATTCTTTAATTGTTTTGTTATGAGCCCCCTCTCCATGCTAAAATTAGAATAGAAGGACTAATTATAAATTGCCATTAAACAAAGCTTTCTCCTCTTTTTTCCATTCTCTCAACAGCATGATGTAGAAATAAATAAAATTGTATCCCCAGCTGCAACAAAGACAGAATCTTCTGTAATGTCAAAATCATTAAGTTCTTCTTCGGATGACAGTGAAATGAAGAAAGTAATGGAAGAATGTAAGAGGCTGCAGTTAGAAGTTCAGAGGTTACGAGAGGAGAATAAACAATTTAAGGTAAACTTATTTTATCTATTGCCTCTATAGGTGAGAGATTTAGGAACATCCAGGTGTGAGGGTTTTTTTCTTAATCATAATGCAGTCACAGCAGGACTGTATATTGTACTGCTTTATTGATCCTTCATGGTTCACCCATTGTTTTTAACCATAGCTTGTTGAACAGTCCATAGTGATCTGGTTTATGCAAAACAAACCATTATGCAAAACAAACCATTATGCAAAACAAACCACAACCTTCATATTAACTCAGAAATAAAGAAGCTACACTGGTTTTATTCACATGATGCTGAACCACACCTTACCCAACTATCTTTTTGCTTAATGAAGCAGTCCATGTGGTTAGCTTATGGTTCAGCATGTTGTGTGGACATGATTTACTGACTTTCTTGGGTTAATTCACGACAAGTGTGTCATGCCAACCAAATGAGTAGGATTTTGAGTTGATCTAAAAACAGCTGTGCTGAATAGGAGAGAAATTGGGTAGATGAAAACAGCGATACTTAAATACATCCCCTCACTTTTTTATGTCTATGCAAATAAAGGCAACTATATGTTTTAGTTTAAAAATATGTGACTTGACGTTTAAACAAAATTAGGAATTAACTATTCCTATTAAAATACTGGTGCAGGTTTAGTAGAAACCTTGGTTATATCTGGTATAGTTGGAGTTTTGCTTGGAAAAGAAACACCTGAGGGACCGGTCATTTGTAAATTCATACAGGTCATCTCCTGATTCCAGAGTTTATTGTATTAGGCTTAAGAAATAAAGGCATTAGAAGAAGCTGCATGAAGGAATAGACAGTGCGCAGGGAGTGCAGGGTTTCACCCTCCCCAAATGGTTAAATTCTGGCACATCCTGAGTAAAGCTCTGTATAGGCTCAGCACCCGTGCCTGTTGTCATTGATGCCACAGTTACACTTAAGGACATAAAACAGCCCTGCTGGGTCAAGCCCTAAGCCCAACTAGCCCAGCATTCTGTATCCCCCAGTGGCCAACTAGATGATTGGGGAAACTCACAAGCCTGGGTCATAAGGCAAGAGCTCCCTTGCACTGGAGTTTCCTAGCAGCCAGTACTGAAGGCCTGCTGCCAATAATTCAGAAGGTAGGAATCAGGAATGCCATCACATTCAATAGGTATTGATAGCCAAGCCAATCCCCTTTTAAAATTATTCACATTGGATGCCATTCTTAGAACTGCTGGTAGCAAATTCCACTGTTTATGTCCTGTGTGTATTTCCTTCTGTTGATCCTGAATCTCTCTGAATTTAGTTTCAAGTTCTAACACTGTGAGAAAGGGAGAAGCCTTCTCTGTGTTCTCTAGGCACTGCATGATTGCATATACTTCTCGTGGGTCCCCTTACCCTCCCATGCTGAACGTTAAAGAGCTCCCCTCATGGGAGTGCAGCTGTAGCCCTTGAATCATTTTGTTCGCCCTTTTGTGCGTTTCTTCTAGCTGAATAATATTATTCTTACAATGCAGCGACTGGGACTTTACACAATACTCCCAATTAATACTAGCCATAGATTTGTATAAGGGCATTACATTGACAGTTTCAGTTCCTTTCCTAATGATTCCAGTCGTGGGTTTGCCTTTTTTTAAGGTAAGTCACCAATTTCTTCTGCTTGGAAAAGGAACCTTTGATCTCAGTCTGGTTTGTACACATTTCAGTACATCAGGGATAGTCAGTCTCTTTTGGGTTGAGTGAAAGAGTTGACCAGCCAGCAGAGGGTGGGAAGTGCTTCATTGGACAGGTCCAGGGAACGAAATGCTCGAGGCCATGCTACATTTCAGACACCTCAAATTGCAAGACGCTTTTCCACTGCTTTTTTAAAGTTTTTTTTTTTAATTGTTAAAAGACTAAAGCACAAAGTGTTTGATTTTGGGAGAGCCACATAAGATGTAGAGTAGGCATTGATTGTTCACCCCTTCTCTACCTTAATCTAAATAAGAATGAACTTCTAACCATATTTTTTTTTCTAAAAAACCCTCCAAATTAACCTTGCAACAGGAAGAAGATGGACTGAGGATGAGGAAGGCACCCCAGTCAAACCATCCAAGCTATGCTTCCGCTGCTGCTGTGAAGGAGGAGGGTCTCAGCACAAGACTACTCGCGCTGGTGGTTTTGTTCTTTATTGTTGGCGTAATTATAGGGAAAATCGCCTTGTAGAGGCAGCATGCGGAAAATTGTAAATTGGATTGATGGATTTGCCATATCATTGGATTAAATTTATTCGTAACAAATGTTTTAAAAAAAAGTGTATGACATCTCACAGGTCTTGCCTTTTAAAATTTTTACCCCTGCACAAATATAACATTAGCATAACATAATCTACTAGAAAGTTTAAACTGTATACGGAATAAGCAGAAGAGAGAAGGAATTATCTTGATTGTGAGAACAGAGGAAGGAATCATGTATTTAACACTATGAAAGTGCATTGTTTAAAAAAAAAGTACCTTAAGCATTTCTTGGACTTTGAAATCTATTCCTAGAGTTCTCTCCTTTGGAGAAATAAATGCCCGTCCTTTGGAGGAGCTGATCTGTTTGGTTCTTTAGAAGTTGGCTGAAGTTGCCAAGGTGGATGGTTTTCTGTAAAATATACTTAACCCACCCTGCCTCCTCCATAAATCTAACGGTTCTGCCCAATGGGTGTGACTGGTCTCTGAATCGCAGCAATGTATCTCATTAATCAGGTGTTGATTCCATTATGACCTATATAAGCATGGCCATCTTTCTCTAGCTCCCATGTCATCCCATGCAGTTGTGGAAGAATGGAACAAAAAAAGGGGAAGGAGGGAGGACAGATTCATGAGCCAGAAGGGGAACCAGGACTTCTGAGTTGACAGTGTTGCTGCAGTTGGTCCCGGCCAGTCTGTGTATGGCTTGGGCATCACCAAAGGTTTTTAGAATGTTCTAGCTATATCCGGGAGTGGGAATCAGGAGAAATGGAAGTGGAGGGCTCAGTTGCACACTTAAAGTTCTGTTGGGTTAGTAGTAAAGGAAATAAAGTTGCTTGCTGGGGGTTTGAAAACATAGGGCGCCCAATTCTTAGTCTTCTTCAGACAATATGTTGCACTAAAGTGCTCCAAGCTGAATTGGGGGTGTGGCACTTATTCAGACTGGTTTTGCAGTAAGAGGGAGCATTGTATGGGCCATTGCACTTAGCACCCTGACCCTCCCCTCTTGTGGTTAACCTGATCAGATAAATTCCTTTTGACCATCTGTTTTCCGATCCAGATGTGAGTGTTAATGGGGACCATATACTTCTGCCTTCTAATCTCTTTTTTTTTTTTTTTGCATTCTGTTTGTCCCATCCTCCAGAGATCCTTGCTCCTTTAGTGTTTGCAGCCATAGCAAATTTTCATGGGCCCTAACCATATACAACATTAGGTGTGCGCAAGTCTTTCATCCCTTATGTAATTTGGCATTTCTTTCCACTAATCCATATTTTGAAGCTTTTGCAAATCAAGTTTCTATCCTGGACCCAAAGACAATGGGTGATCCTCTAGAGATAACGAGGCTTGTTTTATGTTGTCCTTCACTAACATAATTTAGCTCAGCTTCTGCTTTCTTCTCAGCAGCCCAGCTAAAAAGTGAAACTGTATGCATCCTCTTTGTGCCCATCAGCTGATTTAGTAGCTGAATTTTTATTAGTATGGCATATAGGGAGACAGCGGTGCAACCTGTGCTGAAAAAGCCAAGGATCTGGGGACAAATGCATTGGGGAATCTATGAGTAGAGTTCCTGATTCCAGGTCACCTAACTGTCCTGTATGTAGGAGGGCATGTTTGGACACACAGAATTGGTAGGTCTTGCTTGGTGAATTTACCAAGTAATGAAAGGCTTAGAGGAAGCAGATACAATCCCACCACTGCAAGGTTGAAAGTGCTGGGCAGTTGACTAAGTGTCAGATGATATGGAATGAGGATCAATGCCTTGTTCTTCAAAAGGGGACCAAGCTACCATTGCTGTTGGTTCATGCCGCTGAGTTAAAACTCTTATATCCAGATGTGTATGCATATTTAACTTATTTAATGTATTTCATCTCATGTTTTCTTCATTGTCATGGAAATTTGACTACTGCTATAAATGGTTAAAAAAAAGAAAGAAAAAAAGGCACCTGTTCAGAGTTGGTGAATAGGACTAATTTTTCCTTTTTATTGCTGTAGTGGTGAAGAATTCTTCTGCCTCCTAACACTTAGGGCACCACATAATTCTCAGTTTTGATCATCTAAACATTGGGGAAGACAGCGGTCAAAAAACTGTTTTTGTATATAAAATAAGTCTATGTAGGGGAAAAAATTAGTAGGACTTAGTTCTATGCTGTTAAAAAAAAAAGACCAATCCTGTTTGACTATGTAGTATCTTTAAAAAAATCAAATAAATCTACCCCAAATTAATACATTTTGTTACTGTCTGATTACTTTGTTTGTAATTTGCCAACAAAAAAAAAATCTGTAATTAACCATGCATCTTGTTATCTGGTTTTGATTCCAATGTCCTTAGCTTTATTTTGTTGTCTGACATTTATCATGACATAATTCAAGGTGTACCTTTAATGGGGGAATGTGAAATTCAGGGAGCTTTTCGGAATTCTCCCAGTCAATAGATACAAGAAGCTATTTGGCAAACTGGCTGAATTAGCATTCAGTTACTGAATTGGAATTCTGCCACTAAATTGTTAAAATACTTCTGCAGCAGGATCATAGAAGCCTTTTAGTCAGCTTCTTTTATTGCTTTAATATTTTTTAAAAGGGGAGAGGAAAAAAGGGGAGAAAAGCATAAAGACAAAAGAGAAAAAAAGAAAACCATTTCACATATAGGAAATCATTTAGTCTAATTTTAAACACATCATTAAACCTTAACCACATAGAATAATATCGATCAGTCTATTACAGTCCATAAACAGAAATCAAACAGCTATTTACTAGTTCCAAATTCTTGGTATCTAATCCAAAAGTATTTTAACATCTTGAAAATGTATTGTCTTTACTGTCATATTAACACATTTACAGATATTAAGCCAAATCATATAAATGTCCTTCACCCTTTTTTCATTTCCAACATAATGAAGTGGCCAGGCTACTGTTTTTTTAAAGATTCTCTGTACTGTCCAGTAAATATGAAAACTATTACATTGAGGTAGTCCCAACTTAAAAGGTCAGTTATACTTAAAGAATATTAAGTATGTTTCACCTTTTAAAATGGGACTACTTCCATCTTCATTTCCATAGAACAAATTAATGGCTGAAGGTCTTAAAGAATATTCCCCTAGCCATATCGACATTTCCAACTTTTTTATTCCAAGCTTGATGCTTGCAATCTGCAGTCTTTGATCTGGGAGTTCAGCATGTAAGCTATTCAGTGGCAGCTACTTAAACATTGCAGATGCACAGTAGGACACACTTCTCACACATTGTACTAAGTCATGAATGGTAAGAAGAACCCATCTGACCCAGCATTCTGTATTGTATGGTGCCTAACCTGGTACTTTTAGGAAGTTTGCAAGCAGAACCTAGAGAGTGATAGTCTTCTTCCACTGTCACTCCCCAGAAGCTGGTACTTAAGTCAGACTACCTGTGATTTTATTTTATTTATTTTATTTTATTATTTTATTTGGTTCCTTTGAATCGGTTTTTGACTCCTGGTGATTGCCTGGACAAGTCCCTGCAGTTTTCTTGGCAAGATTTTCAGAAGTGGTTTGCCGTTGCCTCCTTCCTAGGGCTGAGAGAGTGACTGGCCCAAGGTCACTCAGAGGACTAGAACTCATATCTCCCAGTTTCCAGCCCAGTGCCTTAACCACTACACCAAACTGGCTCTAACCGTGATTCAAGAGATAGTAAATAAACTCCATGACAAATTTTCTTCCATAAATTAATCTAGTCTCCTTTTAATATTGTCTAAATTTGTGGCCATCATCATGGATTCATAGCTAAACCATGAAGAAACCCATAATTGGCTGGCTTAACACAAAACACTAAGCAAACCCATGTTATTGCTTAATATGTGTAAACCAAGTCAATGCTTTAATCCCATCACAGTAATAATGAGGTCATGCAGCAAACCAACAAGAAAAATAAACCCAGTCTGAAATGCAGTATCCTTTAAAACACTCTGAGCACCATTCAAAGATCTGGATTCCCAAAATTCTCAGCAGTGGCTATGCTGGATGGGAAATTTGAGAGTTGAAGCCCACATGTCGAGATTTGGTTTACACGTATAAGCAATAACGTGGAGAAATCTACTTAAAAGGAAAACCGTGTGGGTACAAGTGGCATTTGTGTGATCAATGTAGGAACAGCTAAAGAGACAAACATGAAGTGGGAATGGCTGGTATATTTGTTTTATGACCTTTTTAAGAATATTTCCTATTTTGGTTTTTTGACTTGATGTCATTTGTTTTCTTGAAGAAAATGTTAATACATTTAAAATAAAAATAATCCAGTCCCATCCTGACCAAGTGCAGAAGCTAGCAAAAACGGGCTGTAAATCCTGGATTATCATTAGTGAGCTGTTTTGGGGAGTGCATGAGCATGAGCCCAACATAAATTCTCCAAGAGTTTAACTAACTCAAGCACTACACATTCACACATTTGTGGGTTTGGATAGAACAAAGGTATGCAAATACAACGTTTTTAGCTTTACAAACAAGTGATTCAGACACCAAATCATTCATGATGTCAGGGAGATCTTGGATAGAGGTACAAAAAAGACTGCAGTGATGATCCTGAATAATGCTACTCATGACTCATGTTCTGTTTATGACTAATATTGACAAGCAACCATCTGAATTACCACAACAAACAGGCCATGGTGTATAAATAGACTGAGAAAGGGAAGCCACACACATACTTGCATCTCCAAGAAGTCCACGCTATTTTGTCCCAGGACAGACAAGAGTTATGTATCCTCAATCTTAATGCCTCATACTTTTTTTTCCCCACCACCATCCCATTTCTCAGGTGACACTTAAAAGGTAAGAGCTCTTTTCCATTTATGTCATACCTGTGACCAAATGGGGCTTCATTTGTGAATTATGTAGCAAGGTAGATGAACGTCCTTCACATTTCCATCACAACTGGTTGTGTTTTTGTAAACATTCACTTGTTTAAGCATTCAACTGTTTGAGGAACTTGATCAGGCAGGTTAGTATCAAAATTCCACCACTGAATTCACTTAAAACAGGAATGTGCACTTAGAATATTTGCTTAAGTTATTTATTTTTTTTACAACGGGAAATTGTACTCTCATAATTTGATGGGTGTGCTGTCGGACCTCAATAGTGATATTTCCAAGGGTCTTAGGCTGCAAAAAGTTGAGGATCGTTTGCTATGAACACATTGCACACTTGCACTCTCAAAGTTAAAAACCTGGGTGGGTAGGGCAAAGTGGCCTGTTGAGTTTTTCAGTTGAGACTCAAGTTCTTCCAACTCTAATTATGTGCAAGGTATTTAGGAGGAAAAGAAGAACATTTTTTGTTTTCAGTACCAGAACTGAGTTTCCACTGCTGATTTTCTTTGTTGGGTTTTTCAACTAAAGGTTCAAGAGGGGAAAAGGGCTGTGGTGGTGGAGTTATTGTTAAAACAACAGAACATCAGAAATTCTTGATCAGCTGAGAACCGTGCAGACATTGCTTTGCACTTCCTTACTCCTTCAAGTTATAATTACTACCCACTGAATTTATCTCTATGTATAACGGTTAGCTGCTCCAGTACTTAAGCTGGAAAAGTTGGTTGGCTTTGGGGCAGTCATTATCTGAGGCCATCCCACCTCACAAGATGGTGGCTGTAGAGACAAGAGGAGAGGGGACCATTCTGTATACTGCAAAGCTAGGCAAAACAAGGTTCCCTATTTTTGCTTCAGGCCACAAAGAGCTAGCTGAACATACATATCCGCCCTTAAGACACAGTGCAGTTTGCTTAGCACAATCTAGATACTGTGTTTTTTTAATTAGCAGCTATGGCTTAGTCCTTTGTAAACCTAGCCAATTTTGGTTTAAGTCAAAACCAAGGTTAAGCATGCACAAGCATGAGATGTGAACCCAGTCACTGAAATGTTTCACTAATGCAGGCTGGATTATCTTCCATTTTCAGTCCAATTCTTAGACAGAGGGCTGGTGCAGTCCTTGTTCCTACTGTACCAGCAGCACAATTCTTATTTGCCAGAATGCCTCTTCTGATTTTAAATCAAATGTAATTTAACCAAGCCCTATCTAACTTTTCAAATGTTGTCCACCCCAAAACAGCCACACCTGTATTGTATTTAAACTATTGAACCACCTGGAGACCATTTGGAG